GTTATTGTTGTTTCACAATAAAAGTCTGTTCTGTGAGTTATTGTTTCACAATAAAAGTCTGTTCTGTGAGTTATTGTTTCACAATAAAAGTCTGTTCTGTGAGTTATTGTTGTACTTCTGCTCCGGAGGACTTGGATCTTTTTTTTAAGTGACGCGTCCTAAACTCCGGAGCGACGCCCAGTCCAGAAAACACGGCACATTACCGGGTGTACACCCGTTAATCTCTTACACAGCAATGCCCCGGACAAGCCAAGACCTTGTGAAACATTTGACCTTGATGTGTGACCTTGACATTGGAGCAGGGTGACGTGACGTGTCTGTGACACCGTCTAGAGATGACACACGTGTTTGAAGTTTCATTAAATTATCTCGAGCGGATCAGAGGTCACGAGCCGGACAGGAGAAAGTTTACGTACCGGCAGACGGAGACTAAACCGTGAAACGTCCGACTTCAACGGGCGTTTAAAGACATCGGCGCGGCAGATTAACGCTTTTATAATTTTCTAAAATATTTCAAAGATGGAATTAAGTTTAACTTCTACCAACCAACGTAAAAGAATAAAGTTTTCTGTAAACGTGTGCACCGGTCATCGTTAAACGCGGTCGAGTTCCAGATTCTTTTACCTGGTCCGGCAATCTCCGTCTTGTGGACCAGATCGTTATCCGGGAGGTTCTGAACGATTTTCTCTGCGATCTCTCTCGGGTTCACCTTCACCCCCTTCGCCTTCAGCAGCTAAAACACGACAGAAACAAACGGTTCGGACTAAAGTTTAAACACCTCAACAACCGGAGAACACAGAACTCCGGTTGTTGAGCTCTCTCCGGTAAATCCTCCCTTTATTATTTAATGCCATGGTAAATTAGACAAATCACCGATGATCAATATATTACATTTAGGATAAAAAGCACATCTAAATCAAAGCCCAGTTAAAGTTTAACAGTGAGCAGCAGCAGATTGAACAGTAAAATAAACATATTTGATTATTCAGACTGAAGAATGAAACTTTAGATGATAAAAGAGAAACGAAAGTGCCGGGTGGAGTCCGGTAAAGGCCGACCTGAGCCATGGCCATGGCGCTGTTGCACTGATAGTCTCCGAACTTCGCCTGCTGGTTGGGCGCGACGGCGAGCGGCGGGTCGGCGAGCTCGGGGAAGGACGCCCGGATGGCCTCGCCGAAAACCTCCTGCAGCCGCTGGTTGATGTTGGTCATGGTTTTACTGCAGGGGGGCGAGTCCTCCTGCAGACTCTGGACCCAGGAACACAAAAACACCGGGGACTCCGGTAAATTTCTGACCAACGGAGAACAGGGTTTTAAAAAAAGCGCTTCACGGCAACTTCTGAGACTTTTTAAATTGTAAATTATACAATTAGGTTGTTTTTTTTAATGGGGGGCGTAGAGGGGCCACTGAAAACCCTGGGGTGGCACCAAAACCAAAACCAGCACATATTTTAAGATTTGCCATGAATCAGTTATTTGATCGATACAGAAATACAGAGTTTGAGAATCAGTTTCTGATAATCACCGGTTTGAGTTTTATTTTAATTCACATTTGATATTTATTGACGGCCGCTGCTCAACTTAATGAAGCTCGGCCTCCTAAATTTATATTTATTAAAAAAACACATAAAATTATCTAACGGGGGCCAACAGTCTTTTAGGGGAGGCCATGACCCCCCCCCCCCCCCCCCTTGGCAGCACTCCTGATCTAAATATTTGTTCCCTGAACATCTAAACCAAGTGTTTTGACGTGTGAATGATCTGAGACGGAACAAGAACAGATCCACGTGATCTTACTGTTCCTATTAGAAACGGACGACCACAATAAAAGGTCGGGTCGGTGCAGCCAAACCCAGACCACACTCATTTCATGGACGGTCCCGGCGTCGGGCCCAGCCGCCTCCTCACCCTCTTCAGGACGTTCAGACGGTACTTCAGTTTGGCGTTCTCCTCCCGCAGCTCGTCCAAACGCGGCGACGGACCGAGGTTCTGCGGGTTCTTCAGACCCTCGATCTCCGCAGACAAACTCTGGATCTCCCGTTCCTTAAAGACACGACGTCGTCATTTTTATCCACAAACACAAACGGGTTTTTACAAAGAGAAACAAAACTGAGCAAAGAGATTATTGTAAACAATTAGTCTTAAATACAACAAATTATTTTTACACCTAAAGTCTTTGAATCCATCCGTTGAATTTAAAGCAGATAAAATTGCTCAATAATTGTGTTTAAAATGTTAATATATGTATAAAAAATTAATAAATGTGTCCCGATGTTTGGAAAGCAGCAAGTTTCAGTTTTACTGAGTAAAAGAGGTAAAAACAACCCTCAAAAAGTAATTTATTTTATAATTACATAAATTAAATTTTTAATTTATTAAACTTTTTGTTGTAACTTCTCATCTCTGGGGAACAGCTCGGATAATAAAATGTTTATCAGAATGAAACTAAAAGTTTATTTATTTAATGTTTCCGTGACACTCAGATAAAATAGAACAAAACTCGAGTGAACTTTAAACATAATAAAACTTGTCGATGTTTGGATTCATAAGTAACGAGCACAGTAAAATAAAATATTTAACTTTTAGACTAACCTTGAGAAAACAATCTTTAAACTTTGACTTGAAATGGATATTGTGGCGATTTTAAACAGATTCGAGACCCACATGTTGCAGCTCATCAGATAATGAGTTTTGTTGTTGTTGTCTTTAAATTAAGCCTCTATAATTGATTGTTTATTTTTATCCTCAGGTAAACAGCAGGCGGAAGCTGCCATCCCCGCTACAACCACCAGGCGGCGCTACATTCGAGGCTAACGCCACGATTACGTTAAATTTTAAAGTAAAACCGGTCACGCAACGTTTTTCATTTTCTGTCCGCAGAGAAAGTTTAATGGGAAAAATCTGTGATCTCTTCTGGTAACTCCGGCCGCAAACTTTGTCAAAATAAATAAAACTAGACTATAAAACTTTTCATTTACTTGGGAATAAATGTAGCGTGGTGGCTAAAATGTGTCTGGGGAAAGTTTTATTTTATTTTAAGTTAGGTGTTTATAACACAAGGATAATGAGCCGAGTATTAAAAAAAGAATAAAATATTAAAATAATTAAACAATTACTTAAGTTTATGTAAATATATTGTAATTACGAGCAAATACGTTTAAATTGAAAGTTTCCTGAAGGAAGTCTGGCGCGGCGCTGACGAACACGTTTAGCTAGTTGCTAACGTGTCGTGCGGGGCTGACCTGCTGCTGGAGCCGGGCGGAGTGCTCCGTCACTGGGTCTCCCATCTCTCTAAAGTCCGGGTTGAAGCTCCGCTCGGCTGGAAGTGGACTCTCGAGTCTGATGAAACAATCTGCCGGCGCTGCAGGAGGCGGAAGTTCACAACTTTCATTAGTTGATGGGGCGCAGCTGCGCAGCGCCCTCTGCTGGACCGGAAGTGCACGACAGAAGCTGCTTTTAACGCTTCTGAAACACTAAAAAACACATCACAAAGGATTTTATTATTCTATTTTACGTTGTTCTTTTTGTCAATGAGTGTTTTTAAAAAAAACACTAAATTAATTATTGCCCATTTGTTGTCGTTTGGTCTCTTTCTGGTTTAAATGTTGCGCAGAATCTCTTTCCACCAACATTCAAATGAACTCTGACCAGAAGTCTTGATCCCGTTCAGCATTACCTGTTGCCTCACCTAAATCATGTATTTACGTCTTCCCTGTTAGCAAAATAGCTCACGAACTACTGGAATGGGGTGAATATGCCGCTACAAGCACCGCACAGATGTTGGATGCTGTGTCACTGTGTCATGAGATTCATAACTGGCGGTAACTGAGGTTGAAGGCTGAGCCTTTCAGCCACTTGGATCCAGGATCTGGTTCTTTTGGTCCCGATCCAAACCTCATGACTACAGGTGAGGGTTGGAACGTAGACGAGTAAATCCAGAGCTTTACTTTTAGACTCATCTCTTTCTTCTCTACGACCGACCGGAGCAACGCCCTCATTACGGAGGACAAGGCCCTGATCCGTGGAGCCGTCTCCATCCGACCATCACTCAGGCCAGATACTTGAACTCCACCCCGACCTGGTTCCGGTAAAGAACCATGGCCTCGGACTCTGAGGTTCTGATCCTCATCCCGCCTCAGCCCACGCTGAAGGTCATGGCCCAGAAACGGATCTTAACAGGATCTGGGTCTTGTGGGCCTCTCAGGTCCTGGCAGTTCGGCAGAAGTTTGATTGCAAAGACAAAAACTCAAAACCCGAGTAGAAGAGAAGAACTTTTTATTTGTTGTGAAACTACAAAACATACGGTTTGTTTGTTTGTGCTGGTGAAATATTTACAGCTCCTGTCGACAGTTCAGTGTCCGAGAATAAAATTCACAGCTTCTCAGGGCTTTCGATACAAAGAACAGAAAAAAAAAAGCACACCCAAATCACAAAAGTGCAATAAATACATGCGGTCTGTTCCTCGTGTCCGTCTGCAAACACCTCCGGGTTCGTCGGCAGTCGTAATACAGATTCATTACAAAACGATAATCCAAGGCCGGAAAAACAACAAATACAACGAACGATCATCTGGGACTCAAGTGACTCCAGTTTCCTGTAAAAACCTACATTCCTTCATCCAGGTCGGGATTTTGGGGTAAAATGAGTGTTTTAAAGTTTTATTTATTTACCTGCTCTACAGTGGAGAAAGTGAAAATTCAGACGTTTCTCTGAAGTTCGACCGAAGGCCACAAAGTCCTGGACCTTCAGGACCGATGGAAAGAAAGGTCGAGGGTTCAGGAGCTGCTTCCGATCAGTTGTTCCTGGAACTGAAGGAAGACGTGAGCCAGCCTGAACCCATCGAGGTCGATCCCAGCTCCTCCTCCCGACTCGTCGATCCGTTCCAAGAACGACGAGCCTCGTTTTTATTTTTTATTTTAAAGCCCGCAGCCATGACGACCTCCCATCACGGCGATGGCGTACAATCTTTAGAACAGGAAACCTTTTTTGGACGTTTCGCTTTTTTTTTATTATTAAAACTAAAAAACGTGGACTTCTCAGCTTTAAAACTGTAGGAAGCTGTTTATTTGAGCTGAACTCACAAGCAAATCACTCTCCCTCCCGAGGGTCATCAGGGCGTTTGTTGGCCTGATCCGTACGAGGGAAGCTTTGGTCTCGTCGCTGCTCTGGCGCTTCATTGGTTACGTCTTTATTGTCCACTTCTGCATTTTGGTCACGTGTATTTGTTTTAAAGTGCTTTATAAATAAAGTTGGATTGAATTGGCCTCAGTGTCATTTTAGGGTCGCCCACATGGGAACGTTTTCTAAAAACACGCAAAAAAAATAAAATACAGATTTACCATGATGTTCACACAGAAACGGCATTTTAATTTAAAATCCCAAAACTGTATTTTTTGTGAAGAAGTTCCAGTGTGAGATGTCACTTTGGTGTTTTCGTGTAGACGGCCAAAACGCAACTTTTTGAAAACGATGTCATTTCCCCCGCTCTAATCAAAGCTACGACTTGAGGGCGACCTCCTCTTCTTCTTATGTTTAGATTTCATACAAGGAGCTAAACCTCGCTTCCTGTTTTTGGTGTAGTTTCACGGCGTTACAGCGCCACATACGGGCCTGGCAGAGGAACTACTCCTGACCCTGCTGGCAAAATGAGCCACAACGAGGAATTTTTCAAAACTGATTAATCTTTTTCAGATTGTTCAAAATGATCCATGGTGTGTTGAAATTTAGGGATTTATCATCTGGCAACAAGCTAGTCTTCTTTACAAGAGTCCCCGTTTGTAAACTTGATTTTTATTGGTCTGTAGTGACGTCATCAGGAGCTCAGCTGTATATTTAAGAAGGGGGATCCCAAAGTTTCCCCAACAATTATCCAAGGGGGGCTGCCCACACCCCCAACATGGCCCCTGAACTAGAGCAGTCATTTCTAACCCGGGCCCGAAGCCCGGCCCGATCCGACCCGAATTCGGGCCGGCTAGGGTCGGACCATGATAAAGTGCTGGATGGGCGGCCCGGACCGGTGTTGGGCTTTTGATTGCGTCAGCGGATCATCCGCGATCCAATTATATGGCAGCAAGGCTTGCCGTACTTTCACCAGCCGCACGCGGCCATTTCACCGCGAGCCGACCGACCCTGAAAGAGGCAAAAAGTTCAGTAAAGCTTCAGATGGACTGCACTGCCTGGCAGCGATCCATCGCCCAGATGGACGTTCATTCAGCCGCTGCACTCAGCGGACACGCGCAGCCGACGACCCAAGCAGGTGAGATCACAAAGTAGACATGTCAGAGCGTGGTCCGTGTCTGAATAATGCAGAATGCAGCAGAAGCAGGGATTTTATGAACTTTGACAGCCATCAAAGGACAAACACCCCCTCAGCTCCGATCTTCTGCAACTTTTATTCAGCGGCGCGTCCACAGACCGTTAATAACGATATAAGCAGTCAAAGCTTAATTAAACATATCAGGGTGTTTTTGGGGTTCGGACTGTTAATTTGTCGGGTCGGGTGGGGCTCGGAAATTATGGTTGCGGACCGGGTCAGATTGGATTTTTTTGGGCCCTAATGCAACTCTACCCTGAACCCAATGAAGGTAAAGGCACATAATGAATTAATTAATGAACATCTGTACGTGTTCACAAGTCAAAAATTCACTGCGCCCGGAGGAGACACCACAGTCATCATCACCCCCACATCCCGAGTCTCCCACCTCCTCAGGACTTTTCAAATTTAAGGTTGTATTCGATGAGTACCAGACGGTGATGCGTTTGCAGGCACTGATGTGCCCGAAGCGTTATTAGTGTAAAACATCTGTCCAAACTCACACTGGCACAGAAAGTGCACGAGAGATGTTGCAACCAACTCAACTGGTTTTTATTTTAACTTTTTGTTTCAACTCTGTAAGATTACAAGTTAATATCTGACTATTTTCTCGCAAGTTTGGGTCTCGAGCTAGTTGCCAACAATCCTCGATTAAAATTGGTTTTCGTAGACCGCCCCCTTGACTTTGTGCTTGGGGGTGTCATCCTTCAGGAGAACCAACATCTGTTTGGTTTGAAATGCAGAGAAGTCGTGCTCAGAGAAAATCCTCCTCTGGGATGACATTTTTGTCCTTGTTCAGTTCTGTGGAGATTTTTCCAGATTTCCTGGTAAACATCCCGGGCCAAAAACAAGACCCTGCAGAACCTCAGGAGAGAGTGATTTGCCTTTGAGTCCAGTTTAAATGGCCCGACTTTGTGGTTCGAATTAAGAAATCTCGTCAAACGAGAAGTAAAACGTCTAAAAGCAAGAAAGAGACACTTCCTCCTTCCTGTTTAGACCGGTGGGGCGAGGAGGAACGGGAATCGGATCCAAACCTTTCCATGAATACCTGAAACCAGACTCTGTGTTTATGTGAAAACTACAGCTACGAAGACGTGGCGAAACTATCGTACACTTCATGTGAAACAAATACAGCATTTAATCAAACAAGAAAACATTTGTACAAGAATCAGTTTGAGTTTCTTCACTGCCATTTCTGTGAAAACAATACAAACATCTGGAATGACCGCAGCAGCTGGGGCTCTGTCCACTACATTCTTTAAATCTTACCGAGACGTGAAGTTTGTGATTTTTATGAAAGCAGCATTAACGCGACCGTGAAGTGATAAAACCAAAGTTTCCTGTTTTTGTTGGTCGTTTTTCTCCTTTTGGCCACTGGGGGGCAGCAAAAACAGCTAAAGAGACAAACACGTCCAGCAGCTACATCTGTGTCTACTTGATTTAAAGCCCTGGTTTGGTTTTTTTAATGGCCACCTCCTTCCTCCTGAGGGGAACTTCAGCTGCTAAACGTTTTCTGGTTGATCATCGCGTAAACAGAAGAACGGAGAAGCACCGAAGAGAAACCGAAACGGTAAAACTCGAAGAGTAAACAAACAAAACGTTCTGTTTTTCTGGTGCAAAGAAACAAAATATTTATCCAGTTACAGCCAGGAGGAAACTAAAAACTGGTCTCATCGGGACGAAAAAGAACCAAACCAGCCAATCAGAGAGAAGGGAGGGGCTTAAAAGAAGCTTCTGTCTTCCTATTGGCTGACAGCGTTTCCTCTTCACTTCCATCCCAACAATCACACGATCAGTAAGAAGTTCACAGTCGTCAAAAACACTTCTGATGTCACTTCCTGTGTGCTTCAACAATCACGGATCGGTCCAGTCAGAAGCAAAGGCTGCTGGGAGTTTTGCTTTCGTTCCAGAAACCCACATCCAGTTTGTGTTTTCTACAGTTTGATAAAGTGCAGACTACGGGGTCGACTACCTGAGTGTTAGTGTTTCTACGCTGGTTAGAGACGATCGTCAGGACGTTTTGGAAACTTCTTCACACTAAAAGTTCCTAAAATAAGTTCCAGGTTTCCACTCGGAGGAGAAACCACGAGGCTCGTTCCTCGTGAAGAGACGAGAGTTTTAATCCTTGAGATCTGGCGACACCTCTGGTCCAAGGTGGGAACTGCTCCGGGATTCATTTTCCTTCAAGATAAATTTAGATTTTAAACGAGTTTTAAATAAAATATCACACGAACATCGTCGTTCATTTAAAATAGAGCCGTGAAAACGTGTTTTTAAATCTCTTGGTCTCGTCGAGGACAGAAGAGTTTAGATGCTGAACGGGGCGGGGGGGCTGGTTTCTGTTGACCGGGCGCAGCGCCCTGCTCCACTTGTACCTGAAAAACTAAACTGGGGCCAACATTTGAGACTCAACCAGTAAAAACGTGATTTTTTTTCTTTGAATTACTAAAAAAAACAATCGTTTGAATAAAAACACGATTTGTTTTGTAAAATATTCTGATCCTGCTTCGAGGACGCAGCGTCTGAAACTCAAAGTTCTGTCCAGGTCCACATTTTTATGTTTGTGGTCACAGTTAAAGACCTGAAACTTGTAACTTTAATGTTTTTTCTCGCCTGTGAGCCTCAACACTCCGGACCCACCTGGTCCGTCACGACGACGTCCAGAACCTTCAGCCTGACTAAAGATTTTTAAAAAGGTTACGTTTGATTTGATGGTGTTTGTATTTACCTCAGTCTGAGCACAAACGTTTCACGGGGTCAGGACCAGGATGAAACCGGACCTGCTGTCGTTTTGGTTCTGGAGCACAAAATAATCTGCTGAGTCATCGTTTCCCTAAAGCTCGTCGTTTTCACTTCGGGCGAGGTTCATGGGTTCATGGCGCAAACGGATTAGAAAGTTTTCTTAAATATCTGACGTCGTGTAAACGAGGTCAAAGTTCAAGAAGAACCGTTCAAAAAGGAACCAAACCAGCACCAGAGGTTCTGCAGAAGTTCTGAAGGAGAACGGGTCGAAGAGAATAAAGTGTCTCTGAAACGAGGAGACGACCTCAGAGTCCGGTTCCTGAACTGAACGTTCTTTATGGCACCGGGTCAGGCTCGGATTCTGGTTCTGAACTAATTAGTTATCCGGGTCACGTTTGTTCTGACTCGGTGACTTCGGTTTCAGCTGCTGACTGGAGAAAAATGAAACAAGCTCCTGAATATATAATAATAATAATAATAATATATAGAAGATCGACCAAAACCTGTCCGGCATCTGGTTCTTCTGACCCGGATGAAACCCATTAAAAACAAAATACTGAGACGGACGTGGTTCTGAACTCACAACTCGTGGACCGGTTCGGTTAGGGTTCTGGACCCAAACCACGCCTGAAGTGGAACCAGAACCAGGTCCTGGTAAAAACCAGCCAGAACCAAAAGCTGCAGCTCAGAACTGAAAGACTGTAGGTTTCCTGCTGCAGTGCACTCTGGGAGACGTAGTTGTTTTGGTTCAGACTTGGAGGCATTTTGAAAACATCTCAAAGATTAAAACTCTGGATAAACTTGAGCTCAGGTTTGTTTCAGGGACGTCTACAGAGAAACGACGATAAAAACTCGTTTCTAAAAACAGAAAATTAAACATTTTACAGATGTGTGCTTCATCAGCTTCAGTTCGACTCGAGTACCGTTTCTGGTGCGTTTTTGTGCCGTTCGTGTGATTTACGGCAGGTAACAGCCGAAGCGGGCCCGTCTCGGCTTCACGGAGACCAGACGAGCTCGTTAAAAACGGGATTCTTCAGCGGTTTGAACGTCTGTCGGTTTGAAATCTTCCCGACTCCGCCGAGCGTCGGGGCCGAGGAGATGAAATACTTTGAAATGCTGCGCTACACGTCGTCGGCCGGCAGGTCGGGGATGCTGGTCTTGGCTCGGGTGAAGAACGCCATCTTCTCTCTGGAATCACAGAAAACATTCGGCTCGTTAGTGACCGACTGATTAACTTTATGATGAGTCTGGTGCCGGACGGTCGACAAACATGAATGAAAACAATGTAAATAAATCAGAACCAGGTTTTCACTGGTTTCAGAATGAACTTTTTTAAGTACGGAGCCTTTGGGGGCCCACATCAAACGGAAGTGACACGACCATATATGGAGTGACGACACCGAGCGGCCCGGTACGCTGCGGGACCACTCGGTGGACCGCCGCTCCACGAGGCGGCGCACAGCGCACAGTTTCCTCCTGCGAAACTTAAAACGGTTTGAAGAGTCCGTAATGTGAGAGCTGGTCTACCTGAAGGTCTGGACCTCGGGGACCTCCTTGCGGCTCTGTCCTCTGATCTTGTGGACGTCCTTGGCGGCGGCTCTCATCATCTTCTCCACCCGTTTCTCCTGCAGCTGCTCCTCGTGGGTCTGACCCAGACAGAGAGGAGAGAACCGGCGTTAAACTCTGTTCTGTCCTCCGCGGACTCGAACCGGTGGGTTTACCTGTTTCTCAGTCTGCCGGAGGAGGAGCCGGAACCGCTCGTCCTCCTGGACCCAGGCGGGCAGCTCCCTCTGACCCTGCTGCCTCGCCCGCTCCAGCTGCGACTTCAGCTCCCGCAGAACCCGGAGCTCCTGATCCAGCCGGGCCTGCCGCGTGCGGGACACCTGCAGGTCCAACTCCAGGTCCAGGGAGGTGCGAAGCAGACCGTCCAGACCTTTGACCGGCCCAGGAGGCTGCGGGGACGACAGGGACACAGAATTAAGCTCGTTACCGAGAATTAAATCAACTTCAACCGAAGAATTTAGATTTTATTCTCAAACAGAGGCAGACGGGTCCGTCTGAGACAAAACTGCAAGAGACGAATCAAAAACTAGAGAAACTGCATTTAACGCTTATCGCTGAACAACCTGCTGAATGACAGCTGAAATGTAGCTAAAATGGAAGATCAAGCTTACATTAGCAGAAGTAAGCAGAAAGAGCAGATATTTGCTGAAAGAAGCAGAAATGAGCACAAAAAAGTGGAAATTATCTGAAAAAAGCTGAAATTAGCAAAAAACAGCTAAAAAGTAGCTAAAAAGGCAGAAAGTTTAAATTACCAGAAGGAAGTGGAAAGAGCACAATTTTACTGAATTAGGCTGAAAAAAGTTTTAATGAGTTCACAAAATATGGAATTAGCCAAAAAAGCTAAAATTAGCATAAAACTGCTAAACAGCAGCTGAAATAGTAGAAATAGCTGAAATGCAGAAATAAGCTGAAAGGAGCATAACAAGCTGAAATTAGCAGGAAGAAGTTCGAAGAAGCACAAAAATGTTGTAGTTGGCCAAAAAATCTGAAAGGAGCAGAAAACAGTTGAAAAACAGCTGAAATGTGCAGAAGGAAGCTGAAAGAAGCTGAAGGAGAACACAATGTGAAGGGAGCAGTAAAAGGTTGTAACAGATCTAAAGATCTGAAGGAGGTAAAATGAGCTAAATTCATTTTTTATGAGAAAAAAATGTCAGAAAAGGCTAAATATTTTAAAAAGCTAAAGTTGCACCAATACCAAAGCCCAAGCAGGATTGTCCTGAAAGAGCTGAACGTTTTGATTCATGATTTGTTAAAATAGATGAAAACTGCGGGACAAGAATCGAAGCTGAAAAACGTACGGAAGAAATAAGGATCACAGTGAACGCTTCACGAGCGTTCACGCCACAACTAAAACTCGTCTGAAAGACGGAGCAGAGATCTTTATGAGCTTGTCAGCGGCGTCCCCCCGAGGTCCTGCCAACACGTTGCTTCCAAACATTTAATTGTTTCTGGTGACGGCAGCAGCGACGCATCGAGCCTCAAGGTGTTTAAAATCATCCAGGATCATTAGAAGTTGGTTAATATCGTCACCGATGAGTTTCTCGAGCCTCGGGAGACGCTGGGATGGAATTAAAAGAAGCTGGTGAAACGTCAGAGCTGCATTAAATATGAAGAAGCTCTTCCCTGGGAGGAACGAAGACGGTTCAAGTGTTTAAACAAAAACGTTACATCCACCCCAGGAGAACAAGACGACACTGACGAGTTCGGAAAGTTGGACAGTCTGATATTATTATTCAACTGTCAGGAAGCAAAGAAGATAAGAAATCACACAAGGCTGAACACAAAACCACAACTATGGTGTAAAAAAACATAAAAAAACAAACTTGTAACAACTAAACCAACAAAAAACATCATATAAATATTAGAACGCAACAGCTCTTGAAAAACAATCAAAACTTTTATTTGGATGTTAAATACACCCGAGAAAATGTGGCTCAAACAACTGCTCAGACATCTGATCAGTTCTGATCAGTTCAGGGTTCAATAATAAAAGTTGCTCCCAAATCTGGGCTGGGATGGTTGTAAAATAAATACAAGCCCAGATTATCCACAGTCTTCATTCAGAAAAACTCAAGATTAGTTTAAGAACAAATACAAAAAAAGAGAAATGATCCCGGACGAGCCCCCAATATATATATTTTTATTAAGGTTAAGACTTTCACACATCAAACTGTGATATTCTGTTTTACTGCAGTAAATGTTTTTAGTATTTCTATCCCAGCTTTTCCCATCACACGACAAAGTGTTCCCAGGTAAGACACTGGACCCCAAGTTGTCCCCACTCTGCACATGGGATGTGAGTGACTCGTAAAATCTATGAGCGGTCATACATACATCACTTTTACGTGATGCGTACGTGAGCAAACAAAGAACTGAAACTTAAAGCTTGTATAATGAAAGTACACCATAAACTTTGGCTGCCATGATTTTGTCCTCAGTGTCACTGAAACAGGTCCCCATCCGCCCAGTGACCCTACTACAGCCAGTGCCTCGGACCTCAGGTCTTAAGCTAACAGGCTGACCTTGGGGCAAAAACCTCCGTCTTGTGGAAGCTCCAAAATTCACGGTTGAAACTCGTGCCTTCATCTAAAAAGTTGTTTTTCTCTGCAAAAAGAAGCTGAGAACTTGTTTACTGATTTTTTTATTAAAAGCTTTGTGTGAAAAATGCTAAAGAGCTCAAACCACACCGAACGTCCGCCATTTTGAGAACCGAAAAACAGGAAGGAGACAGCCCATGTCAAGTCAAGAGGCCTCCCTCCCATTTTTCTTAAAGAGACGGGCTGCTCGCTCCCTCACTATCCATCCTTTGGTTCAAACCGTCTTATACTGCCATCCAGTGGTCAAAAAAGGTACTGCACACAAAAAGTTACTAAAATTTATTCTTACATTTGACAATAATTACTAATTATTGTCAAATTTCAAACAATATTATCGTTTATCGCAATAATTTCTGAGACAATTTATCGTCCAGCAAAATTTGTTATCGTGACAGGCCTCCTTTTCATTGGAAAAGTTATTCTCAATGGATTTACGCCTTTATTCTCAGACCCTGAAGGTGCGGGCACCTGTACACAAACCTGCAGATTTTGTCATCTCAGGAGTTCAATCCTTGCCGTTACGAGCTGGAGGAACTTGAACGCCGACCTGAGTCCAGACCAGACCATACAAGTGAAAACCATCACAATCCTTTGAGAGCGTGGTAGAAAACACCCGTCCAACTTACGTTCTTAGATTAATAAAACGGAGAACTTTTATTTTATCACAGCTTCACAACTCAACCATTTTTGTAAACACGCAGAAAGAATCGTTCAAGATGTGGACGTGATCTAAGGAATGTTCATCAACTTCACGATGAAGGAATCAGCAGCTTCCTGTCTGAGGAACGTGACGACTGTTTATTCAGGCATTCAGTGTTTTGAACTCATCAGCATTTACTGTTTCCAACTGGTTTTATGTCAGATTTGTGTCATTAAAATGTTAAAGCGTAGCTAAGAAGTTTGATTTAATGGAAATGTCCGTGTAAGGACCACAGAGGGTGAGAATCTCACTGTCCTGAAACAAAGAAGACAGACGTTCCCGTGTCGTAACCACAGAGAGGCTGATGGGTCAGAGGACGCCTCGTACCTTTTTCATGCGCATGCTGCGTCTTTCTGAGGCGTTCCTGACAAACGGTGACCTCTTGGAGAGGGTGGAGCTGTCACTGTCGCTGCGGTTGATCTGAAACGGTGCAGAGAAGGAACCCGTTAAGACGTCTGAAGGATCCGGTAAAGTTCCTCGGTCTGAGGGTTCCAGTTACCCTGCAGATGTACTGGCTTTGAGGTCCAGGGGAGAAGGTCTTGGAGCGGATGATGGTGTTGCCGCGCAGGAAGACGTTCTGCTGGCAGAGGTCGGGGCGCCGCTCTTTGGGTCGAACCGCGGAGCAGCGATGGGACGACGGTAAGCCGTCCATGCTGGTCTCCTTGTTCACCTGGAGGGAGGAGAAAGAAGAGTGAAGACCGATTCACCTGGCGACCAGAGGACAGACTCGTCTTTACCTTCTCTGTGATGGGCGCTGCTCGTGGAGCTGGTTTGGTCACCACCTCCTCCTCCTCCTCCTCCACCTCCTCCTCCTCCTCCACCTCCTCCTCTTCTTGGCTGCTGTCAGGATAAAACTCGTTCTCATCCTCCTGACACCCCCCTCCATCTCTACCGTTTCCTCCTTCATCATCAAACACGTCCGCCTCGACAGCGTCGCCTCGCCTAAAAATCAACAACAAATGTTTGCACCGTTCAGAGTTCAGAACCGGGTCCAACCGGGTCAGAGGTTCTGAACTTCCAACGGTGTAGAACGGTCGCAGGTGTTTGGATGAACTCACCACTCCTCCTCCTCCACAGCTCTGACTACATCTCCACTGCAACCTGGAGTCTGAAACACAAAAGGTTCGACCCGTTACGATGACCCAAACGCTGCAGCAAAGGCGCTGGAATGGTCCGAACCTCCACGGGACGAAACCGGGCCGAGACTTTCAAACGTTCCAAGTCTTGTTAAAACAGATCAATACAAGAAATAAAAGACCGCTTCGACGGTTGGGATGGGACAAATACTCACAGAATAATTTAAAAGTACCAACAAATCTGAGAGTATTTGTTGGTACTTTTAAATTATTCTGAGAGTATTTTTAATCCAGAATGAGGTGCAAAGAAATGAAAATAAAAATTGGCGCTTGTGAAATTTGCACATAAATGCTTAAAGATGTCAACTGAACACAGCACGTCCTCCTAACCTACGTTTAAATCAAAGTTGTCTAACGGGTAAGTCTTCAGAAATTATCTTTTTAATTTCATTAGAAAATGACCAGTTTACTCAGCCTGATGCAGTAGTGCAGGGAAATCCCTTCATATAAACTTTGGTGTCATTGAGAAGCTCTGGAATTCTCTTTTTTAAATATACGGTTGAAACTCCTGATGACATCACTACAAAAGACTGATGGAGTCAGTCTCCCCACCATCACAGACATCTACACCTCCAGATGCAGGAAGAGGGCCACCTGCATCATGAAGGACCCCACTCACCCAGCACACACACTTTTTGCCCCACTCCCCTCAGGAAGGAGGTTGAGGAGCATTAAGTGTAGAACCACCAGACTGAGGAACAGCTTCTACCCTGAGGCTGTTAGACTCATGAATCTCTAATCAGAATAATCACTGTGAAAAAACACATCATGTTGCTGCTGATCTGTTTCATGTTGCTGCTGATCAGTTTCGTGTTGCTGCTGATCTGTTTCATGTTGCTGCTGATCAGTTTCATTTTGCTGCTGATCTGTTTCAATGTTGCTGCTGATCAGTTTCATGTTGCTGCTGATCCGTTTCATGTTACTGCTGATCTGTTTCAATGTTGCTGCTGATTTGTTTCATGTTGCTGCTGATCTGTTTCATGTCGCTGCTGATCTGTTTCATGTTGCTGCTGATCTGTTTCAATGTTGCTGCTGATCTGTTTCATGTTGCTGCTGATCTGTTTCATGTTGCTGCTGATCTGTTTCATGTTGCTGATCTGTTTCATGTTGCTGCTGATCTGTTTCATGTTGCTGCTGATCTGTTTCAATGTTGCTGCTGATCTGTTTCATGTTGATGTGTTCATGCGTGCTCGTCTGCTCACACAGACTCATGTTCGTGCTGCTGTTCGACGTAATGTTTTTATGCTGTTAGTGCTTAGTGTATATTTAGCTGATGTTTTTCTTAGTTCATATTTTAGCTGTTATCATTGTTTTTATTTTATTTTATTGTTGTATATAACTGGGACCCTGTGGACATAATTTCGACAATAAAGAACCTCTGATTCTCTGACAAATCAATAAAAATCAACATTTTCAAGGCGGCGCTCTCGTAAACAAACAAACTGTTGCTGGGTGAAGAATCGTCAAATCAAAACAAACAGATCATTTTGAAGCTTTAGAGACGGAGAATTGTAAATTATTAACTCGATGTAGAAAAACTCCTCAGTTTTGCCAGCATGGGTCAGACGTCGCTCCTCAGCCCGGTCTGTGTGAGGCGCTGGAACGACGTAAACAGGAAACGAGGTTTGGAGCTCTAACAAAATCTAAACAGCAGAAGAAGAGAACGCCCTCAAGTCGTAGGTTCGATTAGAGGCGGGGCCATGATGTCGTTCCCAAAAAATGGTGCTTTGGCCGTTTACACATAAACACAGACTTCTGAGAGGGAGAATTTAAAAATAATAACTCAATATATTTAAAAAAAATCTTCATTGACTCTTGTTTTGTAGCACCTTAAACTTTATACAGATGTTCGGATCATTTTGATGCTTTGTTCTGTAAAAAAGCTACAACTTGTTTCAGAGCGCCGTTTGAACGACCTGTTTGGAGTTTAATTCTCATGAGCTAATGGCTAGTCGGAACAGAACACACTTCTAACGCCTGAAACCAGCGGTTCCCAACCCTGGTCCTTGAGGAACACCATCCTGCATGTTTTAGTTGCTTCTCTGCTCCAACACACCTGATTCAGAGATTCAATTACTTAATGTTCTGCAGAAGCCTGTTAATCACCCATCAATTAAAATCAGGTGCGGCGGAGCAGAGAAACAACTAAAACTTGTAGGATGGTGTTCCTCAAGGACCAGGGTTGGGAACCCCTGCGTTAATAAATGCAAAAAGCTGTTTATAAACCTTTACACTGTCATCATCTATGCATGAGAAGGTTACTCTGGAAGAAATATGATGAAGGTTCTGCAGGAAGTGGCCCCAGGCTGCACTGGAAATGCTACAGCTAGCTGCTGCTGCACAGTCTCAGATCCTCAGTTTCACATTACTGAACGGGCCGAGATCCACAGAAACCAACAGTTAATACAGACGTCTTCACAGCAACATGAGCGATAACATCAAGAGATTACCCACAATCCCCTGAGGCTTGGCTCAGCCTAAATATAAACACATAAATGAACAAGAGTAAGTTAATGACAACATAAACATTTATAAATTACTTTGCATCAACTGCTATGAAATATAACTTTTATTAAATCTGAGCTGTTTAAAGACGACGTTCACTCTGGTTTGTTCTGACTAGGCGTTAGCTCATCGGTTGGATCAGAACTGAACTCTCCTTCTACTAACTGAGGTCGCTCAAAGAGTTTTCTGTAAGGAAACATTTCTTAATCTAGTTGTCTTTTAGTTAATCTGGACTCGTGGGTGTTACTTCAGGTGTCCACCAGGTGTCAGTGTTACCTGCTCAGAGCCGGCTGCAGCTCGGCGCTCTCCCTCCTTGGCCCTGGTCTCGGGCAGGTAGAGGTGACTCAGCAGGTTGTACCACCTGCAGCTTCTCTCCTCCGAACAGCCGACATCAGCCAGGCTGATCTGGGCCCCCGCCTGAGGAGAACCAGGATTATTCATCTGGTATAATCCACCCGGGTTTTAATGACCTCAGAACCTGAGTGTAGAAACTGACCACACAGTCCTCGAGGCCGGACCTGCCGGCGTTGCAGACGTCCACCCTCAGCGTTTTATGCCGCAGTGCACCATGGGATATCTGCAAGCCAAACACTTCGTTGATCTCCACGACGTCCTGAGGCGGCGAGCTGCGTGTCCTAAAGAGGCAGCGGGAGGCCTGCGGGCACGGCAGCACCGCCAGGCGGACGTACCTGCAGGAAACAGAGCACTTCCTGTTTGTTTTGTCATTTTTCACTGTTTATGTTTGTAAATAAGTAAACGGGATTAATGAACAGAGGAGTGAAGAGGTACATTTTCTGGTCAGCCGGCAGACAGAGGGCGCTGCAGTTGGACAGCTGCAGGACGTAAACCGTGAAGCGCTGGTCCCGGGTTTCATAGCGGAAGCCGAGCTGGACCTGAGAGCAGCCAGACGTCAGGCGGTCCTCGAAGGACAGGAGGTCTGCAGGGAGACCCGGCCTGCAGCAAATACCAACAGTTACCAAACCAGGACCTAACTGGTCTGAGATCCTGAGTGAAGTGAAGTCACCCAGGAGAGATTTAAGACAAATTGAAAAACAAAATTTAGTTCTAAAAGGATCTCAGACTACTTTAAATAATAGACCTTATTTAAAGAGCGTTAACGAGACGGTAAAAATACTGAAGGCCATTTAGTTTTCATAATTTTTTAAAACAATGACATATGGATGTTGCCATTTTATTTACGCTGTAATGCATTCCGGGAAAGTTACATAAATAAGATGCTCCCATGCGAGCTCCATTCGGCTTGAATGTTAATTTTGGACATTATCTGATGTTCATCACTTTAATTTGGACCTGAGTGCTCTGATAGAGAAGAAAAGGGACATGACTCAGCTTTCACATTAGCTGCAGAGCTAATATATATGACGTTAGCTGCAGAGCTAATACATATGACG